AGGGAGCGCTCCCGCCGGCAGGCCGCTGCGGGGTGCGTTGTCCTCAGGGATGGGCTGCGGCCCCGGCCGAGCCTGCCCCTTCGCCTCAGTGATTGAAGGCGCTCAGGTGTATTTTTCTGGCTAAAGGCTTTGCATTCTCACGCCTCAGCTACCGCAGGCCCACAAGCAGCTGGCGATGTTTCGGGAGAGCTGCCGGCCGCACAGAACTTGCTCAGTCCTGACGGGACACACAGACAGTAACCACAGGGCCAGAGCAAAACACAACCCGCACTGCAGCCAGGAAAACCACCCTTACCTTTTGCCCTGCATTTTCTCAGCTCTCTGTCCTGGATGAAGCCAGCAAACATTTGAGATTCCATAAAAACTTCCAAGAAGCGGCGGATACTCTTGGAGGCCACAGATTTACGGAAGGCCTCCCTTTGGAAGGCACGCTCTCCTTTTTCATTCTGGGTTAGGAACAGGGAATAATGGCCAACTGTCTCCACAAAGAATCGGATAAAAACCTCAGACACTAATCCATTCAGGGTGTTACATTCTGCAAAATAAGGTGCGATAAGACACCAAAATCAGCTGCTACCAGAGCTGTCAGCATTGTCATCCACATGGGGCCAGGTACTGTCACGGATGCCATGATAGTCACCGAAGGGAGTTGTACCTGCTCCATGCAGACCTGGATATACATCAGATAAGGTAACAGCTTTATAATCAAGAGTGCCAGTCTGCATATGATCGGTGTATCATAACCAGGAGTCAATGAGAAATACAAATCCTCAGGAAACAGCTCCGAAAATTAAAAAATTTACGAGCGGTTCATCAAAATCATACCTCATTTTAACTCTTGAGTAAGTTTTCCTGAGAAGCTTCTGAATGACAGAATTAAAGTATTTGCTCTGGGAATAATAAGTCTTTACCAAGAACTGATCAAAAAGAGTATGTTGTAGAATTTAGGTTTTCATAATTTCTAAGGTGTTAAAATAGTTTTACATATGTAACACAGATGAGTAAAAATAAATTTCAAAAACTGAACAGGGGCCAGCTTCATACTTTTTAACCACAGGCATTTAAATTCACCCTGGGCTGTTTTTATAATTGCTGGAGGGAAATATGAACCTTCAGAGGCAACTCGGCCCCTCTTGCACTGAAACTATTTTCTGGAAATACCTGCTTCTCTCCTCTGAATATACCGAGCGCCAAGAGCGACTCCAAACTCAGACACACCCCTAAGCATGTATGGTTGTCTGGATTGAATTAGGGCCAAGTTAACCACAAACCTCCGTTTGAGTAAAGGTTTAGAGGTACTCATGGGAGCGCATGTCATTTACAAAGAAACTGAAATAGGTCACTGACAATATATTACTGTGGGATGATACTATCAGTCCCATTCCCTGTGTGTTCAAAGACTATCTTTGATGTCGCAAAAGGTATTTGAGTACTGAAGTCCCATCTTTCTTTTGCCTGGATGGAAAGTCACAATACTACCTATGTGCTTGTTTATACAAGACCCTGTTTCCAAATGAACTTACCGTCATCGGAATCACTATCTGAATCCTGATTTATAAGTTCATTCTTTCTCTCTAGAGCCTGCTCCAGAGCAGCTTGCAATTTTCTAGGTAATAGTGTGTCTTCATCATCCATCTGACAGAGGAAAAAAAAAAGTCTCTAGATCAATTAATCTGTGCAGCAGCTACATCAAATATTTTTGCAAGGTTTAAAATTCAGAAGAAAAGCATTTTGTATTGGCTATTGTTATGCCTACATAAACAAAATAATGAAAATTATGTGCAACTACCATATATTTCTAAACAAAATTTCTTGTCACTCTCAATGAGATTAAAGTCAGGAATGATAATCCAAAAAGCAAGGTAAACACATAGAAACTTGGAATCAGCTCCCTATATGATAGAAAGTCCAAATAGTTGTTTGTAACTAAATACAGACCATGCAAAACCTAGCTACACGTACACACAGCTGCTCTGGTTGGTTTTAAGCAGCTTCTTTGGTTCTTGACAGTTGGTTTTACTTTTATTTTAGTGTATCTTGTTTTCTGGGTTTTCCCCCTGTTGCTCTCTTCATCTTATTTAATGCTTGTTCAGCAAAAGCGAGTAGACACAAGAATCTTAGCTCTGCAATCACTATTCACCAGCCGTATCTTGCAGCGAATTGTACAACAAAGTTTACTCATCCAACCTGCAGATTGTTTGTTAGTTTTGAAATTCTTTAGTGCCACAATACTATCAGGAGATGGTGATCCTTCATCACTCTGTTTACATACAAGGCTCCTGCTTTTCCTATCACATTAAACTATTCTTCACCTTTTCTCTCTCACTCGGAAACATTTCTTTGCAATTTTTGTCCTTTTCACCTCCAACAGTGTGAGTTTTGGGCTAACTGATGTTATTATCTTTGGATGATTTTTTTTGCACTGTGAATACAGTTCTTGATTTCTTCTGACAGTCACAGCCTCAATCCCTTCTGCATACCTGAAGAGTAGTACCTATTTGCAGGTGAAACTGAAAACAAGCACTTTTTTTTCCTAATCTCTTTCCCACTGCACAATCCCTGCCAAATACCTCTAATCAAAGAAACCTAATCATACTACAGGAGGAAACAGCTTGCTAAACTGCCTGGCAACATTTTGAGCTGTACTTTACCTGTCTGATGAATCGATCAGATCCCAGGTTAACCATCAAAGCCTAAAGAAAAGAAAGCACTACAGTGAAATATACCTGAAGAGACAGAAAACATTAATTTATGTCTGCCTTTTAATAGCAAAAGATCATCTGAATGGTCCCAAGCCTCAACATGAATCAAATTCCTACTGTGAAACAAGTTGTGTGCTTTATAAAACAAGCAGATGAAGTTTTTCTTTAGAGCTTAAAGTCTAATTTAACATAGTTAGATACAACAGATATCACACTATTTTTTTAATATGTTAAAAAAAGTTAGGCAGGTCTTTTTTCTTAAACCTAAGCAAGTTACTGGTAATCATTTTTGTTAATGTGCAGATGAAAGTCTTTCAGAGGGGCTTAAAGAAAATTATGTCATTTGAGGCAGCAGGGCTTCTGAAGGGCAAGTGTGTGAAATGTTACTGATAATGAAGCAACAAAGCTGAGAGACAGAGCTGCAAAAATGGGAGAGCAATGTTAGGAAAGTAGGAGGAAAACAGCAGAGATTTACATGGACCAGAGGCACAGAGCGCCATGAAAGTGACTGCAAGAAGATAAAATTTCATAGAAAAATGACAGGAAACCAATAGGTGTAAGAGAAGAGAGTGTGCCCTTGAGTATTTTTGTGGTATTTTACTGGGGGAGCTGATGAAGTGCAACTCTCATTTGATTTCCAGTATAGTATTAACAGTCTTAGAAGTAATAAAAAAAAAAAATCTTAAAAGTTTTATTTTCTGTGCTTATGGTTTCATGCACAACTTCAGCATTAATAGGTATCGTAGCAGATAGCACTTCATGTTGTCTTCTTCTTCTTGTTCCAGGTACAACAAAATCAAAACAAATCAGCATATTTACAGTGTACTTGTTGACCAGGTTAACATTCACTTCTGTCGAGGTGCCAGCTATGTGAAGAGGGGCAGAATAAAGAAAAGACTAAACCTACTACCCACTAATTTTACCAAGAGGCAGTTGCCCATGAGAACTAGGCAGTGAAGAAACAAAGAGGCAGATTAAAAATTAAACGTGTGGATTTCTGTGGGAATGGCAGGCCCTCTTGAGGGCAAGGCCAGCCTTACTCCAGGCAAACAGTTGGGGTGCCAGCTCCTACCTCCTCTACGGGCAGCTCCTTCAGTTTGGGTAGAGAGCTGGAGAGCAGCCCCACCAGGAAGGGGGTCGGACAGCACACGATGTCAATCATGGATGAGGGCAGAACAGGAATGAAGGTGTGCTGCCAGGAGAAGGGGTACAGTAGGGCCACCACGGCGTGCGAGCAGCTCGAGAGGGTGCTGGAGAAAGAGGAACAACCGCATTAGCAAAGGTTTTTTTTGTCCATAACACACCTGCTGATAAACTTGGCGCGTTAAAATGTGAGTGCCCAAGGGGCGGCCCTTCTATCACTTCTGACTTCAGGCAGCCCTTCCACTAGGAACTACCCCTGTACGGTAGTTCCTCCCGTTCGCCTCTAGGTGACTTGAAACTAAAGGTAAAAAACTAGAATCAATTTGTTTCATTATAGCAGTCAGGAGACACTTGATCTAGAGGACAAGGTTTAATGTTCCCAGTGGCACTCAGTAGCAGCCACTCTATGATGCTTAAAATCCAAAAGCAACTTCAGTTCTTAGCTGTTACAACCATGTCAGCAGCAAAACGCGCAATACCGATGTTCTTGTGTTGAGCACTAATGCACAAACAAGGGAAAACGAGAATTAAATGGAAAAAAAAACCTGAAGAAAAACTCTACTAAATCAGATGTAAAAAAATCCCAACACTCAATACTTACTCTAAAGGAAATCTAGTAAAAGCAACGTATTTTTCAAAGTTTGTATATTTTGGTGACAACAGCATATTTTTTTTTTACAATATATCTTAACAGGCTTATTGACCAACTCTAGTGATAAAGGTTATTAAACCTTCTCAGTAGAATACTCTAAAATATATGTTGGTATCTCCTAAATATTAAGGCTTGGTATCATTTGTGGAAAATGTCTTGCCTTTGTCTTTCCTTCTACTGAACCTGATTCCCTTTTACAGTCACATGGTTTCTAAGTTTTAAAAATAAAGGAACATCATTACTAAGCTAGCTTTAGCATCAAGGGAATAAAGACAGGCTCTCCATTAGAGAGCTTTGATTTTGGACTGAGTTACGACGTCTGCTTCTTGCAGGATGAGGATGACAGAAATTTGGATTTTTACCCAGCCCAGCATGACTGAGCTAATTTTCTCACAGGGCAAACTTCTGCTGTGCCTAATGTAGCCACAAAGAACTATAAATAACTAATAACTTCAGAGCTGTTAGTGCTTGAGAATACTGGCAAGAAATGCTGATTTCTTCTACTGCAAGACTTGCTGGAGACTTTAGGTGGCATCAGACCTCCACCGGAATAACCCTCGAGCATTTTTAGTTGTGGATTATTCCAAGACCAGGAGAAAGATTTCACCTGTTTGTTCCTGTCAGTGATTAACCTTTGAAGTCAGCTGAATGGGAAAAATGAAAACAAGAGGACAAAGAGAGAAGAGGTTGGGGAAGAGCAAATGCTTGTCTTTTACTGCAAATAATCAGTTGCATTGGTTTTACTTGACATTTCCTTTAAGATCTATCAATCACAGCATGTTTTTGTAACATATGTTGCCTGACACAGATTTCCTGGAAAATTATGTGTTTCTCTTTTTTTTTTTTTTTTTTAAAATAGCAGGCAATGATGCCGCTGTTGCCTCATATTCCGGTCTCAAGCATCTACCATAGCAGGCACAGTGGTGTGTTTCAGAAGAGCTGTGGAGCATGGTACAGACTCCCAGCACTTTCTCAAGCTCACTTTAATAACTCTGTGGCATTTTCAACTACTACAAATTCAGACGATCTTAGCTGAGTGACTAAAAAAAGAGCCACGTTAAGCTAAAAGCAGGAAGACAAACATTCTTCTGCTATTCGGTTAGTATTTTTTTCCTTTCTATAGAATGCCCTTTTGTAACTTGTTGTTTTACACGCAGCGCTGTGACGTAAATCAGCCCCTGCATCCTCTTGTGCGTGCTATTCCCACGCTAGGAGAGGCTTCGGGCTCCAGCCCAGGACACTGGTTTCTCTTCCAGAGCTTTCCTGGGAGCTGGCTGGGGCAAGGCAGCAGCTGAACGCAGCAAGCAGCCATGGCAGGGGATGTCCTGCAGCAGCACCCTGCTCTGCTCTGCCACTGCCCCACGGGTCACACCATCGCCCTTGTCAGCAACGTGGCCTGTGCATTTTGTCTCTGTACACAGTTTTTCAAACTTCAGCCTCAGAAAATCTTTCACTCGGAGATGTCTCAGGCTTCCGTGAAACACTCACTCTGAACTTTCAGTCCCCAGAATCTCCTGCTGCCCTCCCGCCCAGACACTGCTCGTGCAGAGGGCAGCAGGAGCCTCACACGCTGTTACCAAACTGCTTGTACAAAGTGCCTGCGTCCCTTCCACAGCTGGAAAGATTCATATTTAGAAAGGATACACATCTTTCACTTCAGTGTGAGGTTTTTACATTCTATAAGGTAAAATTCAGAGATCGTGGATGTAAGGGAACCTCCAGTTTAAATCTCTAAAATATGGTTCAGGTCCTTTTAAAAGGGTATTATTAATGAGAAGCATATTTGGTAAATTAAAAAAGAAAGCCTACCCTGGGAAACCAAATCCACTCCAGTTTTTCCTTTAGAGATGTGCAACCCACACATTGTCTCCCTGTTCTCGTTTATGAGAAGGTCAGTCACATGATTTATTTTCTTTAAGGTGTGCAAAGCACACAAAGTAAAGCAACAGAATAGACAAAGAAATTATATTTTCAAAATATTTTCACTTTCAATAGTAATCCAAAGAGCTGTCTTTGAGAGTGGGCTTTTTCATTTGGTCTGTGCAGTTTTACAGGAACACTGCATAATGTTCTAGCTGTCGTTCTACTGGAAAACACTTCTTATATTACCCATCTGCAGGTAATTTTATACATGGGCACAAGAAACAAAACCATTGCATGAGTCACACACTAACAAGGAGCATAAACATTTCATCACATACTTCAGAGGGGAAGCACTGCCCAAGTCATGCACTAGTGGGAAACACTCTATGATGATCCCAGGGCTCCACGCACCCCCGTACAGCACGGGGCCAGCTGTGCCCAGGCTCCCAGCACCACACTGGTGTGTGCCTCCCTCCTTCCTTCCAACACACGGGTAGTGCCCTGCCCCAGTGCCGGCAGCACTAATGCCTCCTTCCGCCCCAGGGATGTGGACCCCTCCGCTGGCCTGGGATGTGCTGTCTCTGCAGAGTTGCTCTGGGGAAGAGGCAGCCTTCTCCTTAAACCCAGCACATCCCTCTGCTCTGTCAGCTACAGGCTGTCCCGCATGCACACGTAACTACACGCGGAATAAGTCTACTAACAGCAGCTGACTGTCAGAAGGTGACTGTGTTTGCAAGTTTTGTGGGGTTAAAGCAATTTTCTTACATATCTGTATGTAAGGCAGTTATCCAGCCATACAACACAGCGTATGCCATGGAACTCATCCCATTAGCCTGTACTCATCCCAATAATTGCACTCCACTAAAGCAAAATTAGGGAACAATTTCTAGAAAAATGCCTAGTTACAACTGAATTCAAAACACAAGCAATCCAACACTTCTCCTTCCACTTTTTTTTCCATGGTTATCATCTTGTTAAAAATTATTTGGAATTTGTCCAGATTTTGTTTTTTCCTATGCCTTTTATTCACTAGATTAAAAAACCCTTCAGTGTTTGATCTTTTCCCCATGAAAGTATTAGTAGAGATTACGTAGTCTTACTGAGACATTCTTAATCACAAATTTCTCTCAAAGAAGAGATCTTTTATCATGTTACAGACAAAAGTTGACAACACTTCTTTCCAACTCAAAGGTGATTTATCTTCCTCTGGGCTATTTTGTTTTCTAAATCACTGTCTCATGATGGCACACAGAAACTCTTCTTTGTTGTGTACTTGGTGTGGAGACACAAGGCTCCGACTAACAGCCAAGGCACAGGAATTGCAGACATTACCGTGACTCAGCTGAATTGTGGAGACTGCTTGTGGACATGGTTTAGGCCCATGTCAAAAGCAAATTACTGTGACTTAACAAGAACATTTACTGTCCTTTAGGTAGGAGGGTGTCTGCTATCAAGTTCTGGGTCAGTCAACCAGCAAACAGCCCCCAGTCTAGGCTATATTAATATCCAATCACAACACAATTACCATATTCTGAGAATCACACGTCCTGCGCTGTTGCACAGTGGATGGGCACTGCCCTGGCTGTGGGGGGCACTGCCAATGTGGCTGCTAGTGCTGGATGTGCCTGTTTCAGAGGACCATGGCTCGCTGCATACTGCAAATCACCAAATCTCATGAACCATTGAAGTCATATTCAGTTACACATACTACTCATGTCAGAAATATTCCACAGATATGCTTAATAGCTCTCTTCTCCATAGCAAGAGCCAATAGTTAGATTCCTTCTCACTTCCCCCTCTACCACCTACAATTTCTCACAGACCCAAGGGAGCCTCATACACTGAGCATCTCCTAAATCCAGGACTAAGCCTCTAGCACAGACAACTGCTTGCTGGCAGGGCTCCCTCATCCTACCTTGCTACTCTCATGCACCCACACAGTCATTCTTGTATTTGCATTGAAGGAGGAGAAGGTGAGAATATCCCTTCCTGCTCCTTCCCCAAGGGACAGACAAGCTTACTCAGCCAGGAGAGGAGGGAGGACCACCCCTTAGGGTGCAGGGGCCAAGCCACACAGCAGCTCTGTCACCCCAGGGCTGGTGCCAGCTCTGCTATGCCGATGGCTCTGGACCATGCACAGGACTAGGACCGATTGTTAGAATCCGGTCCCTCTGCTTCCTCAGATGGAGAAATGTAGCCAAAAATGTAATTTCACAGAGAAGTGTTTCCAATGCCTATGTTTACTTTTCCACAACCTTTTCATGTTTCTCATTTCTCCCTGATGATTTAATTATGTTACTCTGTCCACATTTGCTGAACTCTTTCATCTGCTGTGTTAACGCACACATGCTCCAGCCCACAACTGCTCTGTGACCGAGTTACCTCCCTGACCCACATCCTCTGTTTTCTCTCACTTGGGGTTGGAGTCTGGATGTTCCATCCATCCCTGGTGTAATACCTCCACTCAGGTGAGTATTACACACCCACATGCCTTGTGACAGGCCACTGTTGTGCTTTTCTGTGATAGCTCCTATCCTTGTGCCATTGGTGAACTGTGTAGCAAAACCAGATGCCTAACACTTCCCTCCTATA